AGAACCTTCTTCCTTGCTCTCTTTCCTCGTCCCCGTCCCCTCTTTCAGCCTTTCCAGGGGCTTGTTCTCGCACCCTACTACTAATCATGCTTACATACCGCCACTGTCTCTGCGACTCGGATTTTTTTTTTTTTTTTTTGAACTCTGCAGTTCGATGTCCTTTGGCCCCCTGCCCCCCCTCTCCTTGCTCTCTTTCCCCATCCCCGTCCCCTCTTTCAGCCTCTCCTGGAGAGTGTTCTGGCACCCCTTCTTACCCTAGTGAACTATAGTACGTTGGTCTGTTTCTCATTCTGCATCACTGCATCACTACCGGGACTACTCATCCATTCCTACTGCTACTGGGACTATTCATTGATTTCTATTGCCATCCTACTGGTCTGACTATTGATTTCCTCTATCCGTTACTCCGTCTCGTCATTCCAATGTTCCTGCTGCTTCTCATCATCGTCTATCCGATGTAGACTGAGCAATGTCAATTGAGTGATAACAATCATTGTCTATCTGATGTAGATTGAGTGATATCAAGCGTGTGGGCCATGGCTGCAGAAAGTTTTTTTTTTGGTGGTGGGGGGTTGGGGGGGAGGGGTAGGAAGAAAGGGTTTTTAGCGATAGGCTGGTGTTTGCTTGCCGGTTGGCGAAATGCTGTTTCGGTTTGTCGTTTCCCCCCGGTCGGACTAGATTTGTCGTTTTCCATTGTTGTCGTTTTGCTTGCCGGTTGGCGAAATGCTGTTTCGGTTTGTCGTTTCCCCCCGGTCGAACTCCTACTTGCTCTCTCGGTTGCTGGGATGCGATGGGTATGCTTCTGGGTGCTGTGTGGCTCCGTCGTATTTGCTTGAGGATAATTAATGTTATTATTACAGTATAATTATTAATTAGTCTTCTTTACTACTTTGTCTTTGTATGGGTTCTCCTCGTTTCCACGGTGAGCGGGTGTTGTTATTGTTGTTCAGGATGTTGTTGGCTTGCTTTTTCCGATACCGGGGCCATTACCCGGCTCTTGTTCAGGATCTTGTTGTCCTGTTAATCTTTTTTTTTCTGGAAACTTGAAAGATGTTTAGGAATCAAGTTCATCAATGCTTGTCCACCTTTCCATTGCCTCGCATTCTTTTGAAGCTGGCAATGCTGATTTTGCATCGGTCTTCGTTCACCGGATGTCACAGGTGGACGTATTTAGACGGAACCTCAAAGATACTGTGCCGTTCTCATAGATTTTGCGACTCCTATGACAACCCCTCTCCAGAAGGTGGTGGAAATAAGTGCGCTGTACAGCATCATAGTACACGGGCACGAAGTAGAGAGTTGCACCTGTTTGCGTGAGCGAGCGCGTATAGCGATGTGCTGACTGAAGTACAGGAGTTGGAAATTTGCTCTGTCTCGATGTGTGAACGGGACTGTAGTAGAGGAGGCCATCACTGCTGACTTTTCGTCTGCTTCATCTTCCTCCTTTTTCTTCTCCTTCTTCTTCTTCCCTTACTGTGGGAAGTCCCAGAGGATTAGCGCAACCGATTGAAATGTGTAAGGGGAATGTGTGCGGAAGCTGAGACTGATATGCGCGGCATTGCACTGATGAACTTTGAAGCATGTATAGCAGTTGGCCCCTGTTTTCACTGTTTCCTATTCTTCTTCCTCTTCTTCCTCTACTTGCTCTTCTTCCTCATGTGCTTTTTTTCCTTCTTCCTGCGGATTTCAGCCGAATCTTTTTCGACTCCCATCAGGATGCTCTTGGAAGCCCGTTCTATGTTTTATTTGTGGATTCGTATCTGCCTCGGGTTCGCTGATGGTTTTTAGCTTTACGGCTTTTTCACGCACGTGCTCTTTTTGCCAGGCTCTGCAGTGCCTGTGAGTGAGAAAGGTTATAACGCATTTGCTGCAATGTTGTTCTCTGGTATAGCTTACTCCCTCTATCACCTCCTCCCTATCGGTCTCTCGCGGGTTCTTTGTCTCCCGAAATTGTGTATTGCGCCTGCCTCGCTTGTTCTTCTCTCCTGCAGTTCGTGTTTGGTACGTACTTATTGAACTTTGTCACCCCCGTACGCATCACCCTAGTGCTCTCCTTTCTCTCTCAAAAAGCTGACCTGTCCACTCCAGCTCCACGTGAACGAGTGAGCGTCTGGGTGGCTATGCTAAGAAGAAATACCCTTTTCTCAAAATGACAAGGATTGGAATCTTTGAACGCTTGATTGTGGGGTATCAAAGGACTACCACCATGGTTGATAGTGATGTATGTGTGCCGATGGGCGAACACTGAGGATTGTAAATGAATGCGTGTGTGTGATTGTGTGTATGCGTGTGTGTGTGTGTGTCTTTGGACGGGGCATGGAAACGAGCAGAGGGTATTCAAGTCGTGATATCGACAGAGCCGCCGAGAAGAAAGCCGCTGCCACTGGAGGAGTGCGTGGGATTAGAGTATGATTGCAGCAGCACCGATCTGAGTGATTTCCAGATGCTTCCCAACTTCAGGATCCGGACCATTCCGGTATGCAGTCCAGTGCCAGCCGTTTTCGGTGCAGCGATGGCGGCGCACGTGGTGGCGGCACTCGCTCAACAGGAGCTTTACCCCGAACCTGTGGTTCGGTTCACGGAGGAACAGTATCGTGTACTCTATGATAGGTTGTTGCAGTCGGAAGAGGATGGGCTGGTGGATCTGGACCTCAACGATGTGGTGTACCTTGTGAAGGAGCTGTGGCAGGGGCGGAGCGCGCGGGACCCGCATGCGCACGGGGAAGGCGGACGTGCAAGGTTCCGCGCCGTGAATAGCATGGGGCTAACAAGATGGGATAGGTCGCAGCCCGCCTCGGTTTCGAATATGGTGCTGCTGACTTTCCAGGAGATTGAAGCGCACGAAAGGACAACCCTGGAGCAGATACGCATGGAGGAACCGGAATACTATGAGAGAGTAACGTGCTTGTTGAAAAGAGCGTCAGCCGAAAATGAGTTTTTATCGTGAGACCCTGGTGGGGAGGAGAGAGGGAACAAAAAGAGAATGAGAAGCAAATCGTGCAAGGGAGGGTGAGAGGATGGCTACTAGTCGTCTCTCTCCCCCTTTTCATGCGAATTGCATTCGGCTTGGTAGGCCCCGTGGTCTGACGGTGCCGTGTTTTTCTCCTGCTGCCAAAGCTGCCTGCATGCACCAGCGTTTGTAATTTGCTGTCTCCGACGCTGGCCCCGATGGTGTGCCGGAGATTGTTGGCGGCAAAAGCACACATTGAGACGTTGTCCAATCCGGGAATGTCGGCGACGGAAGGGTTGTCGTCTCTGCTACGGCTGGCTGTAGCTTGATTGACTTGGCGGCGGCGCCTGTTCAATCTCATTCGACGGAGGGCATGCTCGCAGTAGGACCATTTTTACCCCGCTCTGGACTCGATTACGGTCAGATGTGTCAAGTCTGTGTGTAATTGCAGTCAGATACATTAAGGAAAGTGCCAGTGTGAGTATGCCCTGAGTTTCATCAAGGAGAGCTGAAATACTCTACTGAGGCTGTATTCGCTGGCTGAGTTGGTCCACTGCACTCTTCACCCTCGTACCTCATCGCAGCACCCATCTCCGTTGTTTTTTCTTCTTTCTGTTAGTTGTTATTTTGAGACTCCGGGCTTGTCGTGACTTGTATTTCATCTGTCAGTTTATTTACAAATATTTATTTCGTATTTATATATCCCTGACAACGACGATGGTGGTGGACTGGTCCTACGCTCAAGAGGAGTCTGTGGCATCTACCATTCGGACTTCTTGCTCGTACTCCTGGTCGTTCCGAGGAAGGCGGGCGCAGCAGTAGCAGCAATAACTGCAGAGGAAGAGGGAGAAGAAGCAGCATTGGGCCTTGTGCTTGGCTCTGTGAACGAAGCATGCATTGGGCTTGGTCCACATTCCTGGGGAAGAAGAGCGGGAAAAACGCCATCATTTATTTTCCGCTGAATGGCCTGCTGAGGGAGGAAGAAGAAGAAGACGAAAAGTGACAAGCAGAGGCCCGCGGATGTTCTGGCGCAATAGCAGGAGACAAAGAAGGAAGCACTCTCGGTGGATATCCCTGAGCTGGCTGCATGTGGAGAGGTCCGGGTAGGCGTTTCGGAGCGGAAGGGGCATTCAAACTGTCCTTTGGGTTCTCTCCTCGAGCGTGCATCTGGCGGCAGCAGCAGAAGAGGAAGAACCGTTGAATCCTGACCGTTGGTTCCCTCAAGCAGATGTTTCGGGGCAGCAGCAGGGGAGGGAGGAGAAGGCATGGAACTTAACCTCTGGTTCTGTCAAGGAGTGATTCTGGGTCCGACCTCGGCCGTTAAAGGACATCTCAGTGATTATGTCTTTGAATGTTCTGCTCTAGAGCACAGGAAGGGAGAAGGAAGAACTAGGAAGAAAAAGGAGGAAGAAGAGAAGAAGAAGAAGAGGCATTCGTTTTTGCTGCGTGGCCATCTCCGATGGAAGGAGGAGGACAAGGGAATGGAGGCTTCATGAGGGTTGGAATCTGTGGAGACAGGATTGGGACGATAGATGCGGCGGAGACATGGGCTGTTCATGCCTACTGTCATTGCCTGAACGCAACGCAACCTGTCTATGGCTGTACCGGACTGGAAAGATCCCTTCTATACATTCATTAGCAGGGTGCGTTGTGTTCGGGGGAGGATGGTAGCACGCATGAGTGGAGTGGTTTTGGATTGGAGGCTGTGGTTCTGACGATTTCAGACTGCGAGAAGAGGAAGAGAAGAAGATAAAGAAGAGCGGTTGAGCGTTGTGCCTGGCAGGTCTGATAGACGGCGTGGTTGGACAGGAGGACAGTTCTTTTTTGTTGCTTTGCCGTCTGTAATGCACGCTGAGGAAGCGTGAACGAAAGGGAATGTGCAGCGGGTGCGCAGTTGAGTATTTGTTTTTTTGGAACCTGTATGCTTCTTGCTGGGTGGCCCTCGGTTCTGCGAAGAGACTCCCGTTGTCTTCTCACTCCTCTGAGATGGCGGCTTCGTGGCGGCTTTGGGAGCTTCGATGGGTCAGTAAGTCGCTCTGTGTATATGTATATATATATATTTGACGATATATATATATACATGTATAGTATATATATATATATATATATATATTTGACGATATATATATACATGTATAGTCGCAGAGAACTCCCCGGTGAACGGGAGGCAGAAATGGAAAAAAGGACAAGCGCTGTGACACTGTCTGTATATGTGTATATATGCGTCGAAATAAGTTCCGGAGGCACAGATGAACACACTGCAAGAAGCTCTCGTTTGACTAACTAGTTGAAGCGATCGAGTTTGTTCTTCGGTTGAAGGGATTGATCATTGATGTGAGTTGGAGAGAGACAGAGCGATGGGACATACCAGGTTGCACGCGTCCGTAGCTATCATCATCCTCTTCGTTTTCTTCTTCCTGGGATTCTTTCGGTCGTGTTTCCTCTTTACTGACTTTGTCTACCGGTTTCAAAGGTGTTTTCGGTGTGTTCTTCCTGGGAAACAGGGACAATCTCGTACGTCTCGCCGTACCGTGGCATTTTCAGCTGCTGCTGTGCCAATGTGGCTGTCCTTCGGCTGGACCTGTGGGGGCGCATGTATAAACGAACCTGGACAGGATGAGGAAACGTGCATAGGATCAGAACATGTTACGGTTGGGGCACCGTGGACTTGCATCTCTCATCAATGCAGCACTTCGTCAGAGGCAGTGGCAGGCTTCAGGAGGGTTCAAGCAATTATTTGCGTGGCATGTGAGAGTGGCAGTGACCTCAGGCGGGTGAACAAAGGAGAAGAATGAGAGGACGGGAGACCAGGATATGGGGAACAGTTGTGGGATTGAGAAATGTTAGGAGCAAAGAATGGTGTAAAATGGAAGAAGAAAGGAGGATAAAGAAGAAGAAGGAGAAGAAGAAGAAGAAGAAGAAGAAGAAGAAGAAGAAGAAGAAGAAGAAGACGAAGAAGAAGCATCTTGCGGTAGCGAATGAGAAGCAGGAGGGGAAGGAGGAGTGGAGGAGCAAGGAGGTCATTCCTACAACCCGGTGATTGCCTCTTTTGCGAAGGTATGCATGACAATTTGATAGCGTTATGGCGTTCCTGTCAAGGGGAACTTGCAGCGCCGGATGAAGAGGGCCTGATCCAGAAGAAAAGGAGGGAGTTGTGCCGTCGTCCTGTTTGAAGAAACGTGGTACGCAAGGTGAGGCATGAGAAAATTGTGACAGCGTTGGTGAGACGTGACACCGGCCATGTTCTTTGCTCGACCTTTGAAACAGTCCAGAGGACAGAGGGACTGAGGAGGAGAGCTCAAGGATGACGGGAAGCATTTCAGATGTAGGATTGCGGCCATGATAAATGGAACCAGAGGATGAAGACATAGACGCACCAAGAGACCAAACACTCTGGAGGCTAGGGTTTTGATTGGCATGAGAAGGCGAGAGGAGGGAGGGCAAGGTATTTGCTGCTTGATGTGAGGGAGGTAAGAGAGAAGGTGTGTGTGTGGGGGGGGGGGGGGTGGCTACTGGCAGGTTGGAAACGGTGCTTTGTAAGATAATGGAATCAAAGGGATGTAAGAGAGAAACACTGTGTGCTTGCTTCGTTTCCGAGTTGGAGGGGGTTTGCGCTGATGTCCTCTACAGTTCCAGAGGGGTTAAATGGCCTTTGGACTTCCTTCAAGGGCGCGAGCAGCAACTTGAAGAAATGTTCTTGGTCCATTGTTTAGTCAGGGCAATTGTAGTAGGTTGAAATTTGATTCAAGATCAGATATCCTTACTGTTTATTGCGCATGTGGTTGTGCATCGTCTTATTTACTTGCTGGCAGCTTCTGCCATTTCTAAGAGGGGCTGTGTTCAGTTATGATGGTGCTGAAAGTAATACCATTGCCGTTCGCTCCTGAGGTTGGCTACTAAGTTACTAACCCTGCTCTGCTCTTGCAGCAGCTGCTGTGGAGATACTGCATTCAACTTAGTATACCAGTTTCATCAGACGCCAAAATCCTTGAACCGGGGGATTGCACTGCTCAGGGGCTGCTTCGCGTACAGGTAGCTGTCGACCTCAACTTCCACTTCTCCCGCAGTGTGATGGAGTTGGGCTCTAACGCCTTCATAAAGGAGTAGCAGAAAAACCTCCGGTATGTTATCTTTCACATCCTCTGTCTGCTTATCAACACTGTGCGCAGCCCCGCGTCAACACTCGTGAAGCTTCTGCAGCCGCAGAAGGGAGCGGTAAGGACAGAAGGGAGTAACAGCTGCAAAGGGGAGGGGTACAGACGTAAGAAGGTAGGCTGGTGATTTCTTTGGGGGCTAGATTTCAAGCCTGTGCTTTTCGTGAGGGTGTCTTATTCCTGCAGTTTTTAGGGCTGTGTGATTTGAAAGAAGAAGCGACTGGTGCGTAGGAGCTGGTCTGCGATGAACGAACTCCCTTTTCCAGGTGTAGATTTTCACAAAGTCTGTTTACAAATAGTGTGAACAGTGGGTCAAGTGCCCGAAGGTCGTTCTCTCACCATTCTCTTCTAGTTTTATACATCACATTTTCAAGTGTCCGCTGCTTACCTTGTTCTCAATAACACCGTCGAGAATCTTGTTGTTGCTGTTCATTGTTCACTTCTGCTGAGCAGGAGACAATGTGATGGGTTTTGTCCTAACATTGGTCGCAATGCACCCACCGCAAGGCAAGGTAGCGTGGGTTCATGCACCCTCAGAGTGCCGCACACTGGACATGATGCACTGACGACGTGGAGTCATTTTCTTAAGTTTCCTGACTTCTCTGCTCTCTGTGAATGGCCGTCATCAATTTGGGTGTAATCAGGTTTCGATGGAGAGATGGTTTTGTTCAAGAGCACTTGGTAATCTGTCCTCTTCATGGAG